AAAAAAAAAAAAAATATATATATATATATATATATATATATATATATGTCGCTTTGCTGTATAAGTCGCAGGCATGCTAATTTATGCAAAAAAAACTGCAACTTGTACAGCAAAAATTACAATAGTATTTATTTGTCCAAGGGCTAGTTTGACATGGTCAGAGGCTCTTGGCCCTTTTTTTTTTTTAACCCATATGTACTTCAACATAAAAGGATGTAATTTGTGCATTTAAAATTTTATTTAAAAAAATCAGAATGAAGAGTTATTTTACCATAACGTACCACTTTATTTATAGAGCACTTAAAACAGCACCAAGGCCAACCAAAGTGCTGTGCAGCAGAAACAAACAAGCAAAGCACACAGCAAAAAAAGTAAAACATACAATAAAAATACATAACTGAAATGGCTATCATTGTAGAATACAGACAGGTTAAGAACAAATCACACAGTGTCAAAAAGCAGGGAGTAAAAGTGTTTTTTTTTAGCGAGAGTTAAAAACAGTGAGAGGGAGCCTGTCTGGCATGTAGTGGTGTCGTTCCACAGTCTTGGACCTGCAACAGAGAAGGCACTGTCACCTCTGAGCTTAAGACAGGTTCCTGGAACCAATAGAAGAATTTGATTCACTGACCTCAGAGAGCACTGTGGGGCATATGGCTGCAGCGGATCAGCAAGATATAAGGGGTCAAAGCTGTTCAGAGATTTAAAAACATACAGAAGGATTTTGAACTGAATTTGAAAGTTGATTTAATGCATATTCAAATTAATTCCCAAATCTCTAAAGGAAAATATCTCTATTTCTATCTTCTACCTTCAATCACCCTTACTCTGCCTCTTATCTGCATTTTCTCTCTTCTCTGCCCACCTGTCACTTCCACACACATCACATTTATTTCTCTCCCATCCTGGAACACAATTTATTAATCTTCTCTTTCTTTGTTCCTTCTCTTTATCTCCTCCGTCCCTGCTTGTCTCTTCTGTTCCTCCGGCTCTTTCTTCCTCCTGCGTTTGTAGCAAACGGTTCGGCCCACCTTCTTCGCTCGGAAGTTTGAAGCCAGCGTGAACCAGGAGATAGTGAACCAGCTGGATGCCTACCTGTTTGGACCGTTTCCTCAGGGAGCGCCGGGACTGAACTCGTACTGGGAGAATGTGTACGACGAGCCAGATGGCGTCGCCAGCCTGTCGGACACACAGCTCACGTTCTACCACTCCTTTTCAAGACTGGGCCTCGGTCGAGCTGCAGCTTCACTGCAGGGAAACCCAAACGATCACAGCTGCAGGTGAGTGTTGTGGAGGTTTATGTGGATAAAATTGTAAAGAGGCAACATACAATCTCCATTAGCATTCACACAATAAACAGACGTATTTAGTGTATTTCTGAACGTCTATAGCAGGGATATTCAACTAAATTGCTCAGGGGGCTAAAGTTACTGAAAACCAAGAGCTCAGGGACCAGAGATCTGGCACTTACTGTCATTAAGTAAGTTTGTTTATTGGTTTAAAATCTAGTTTTATTTAAAAATGAATACATTGCTGGGCCAAACTGAGCTCACCCATGGGCCTGACTTGGCCCATGGGCCGCCATTTGAATAGCCCTGGGATGGGGATTACGTGACGTCAAATCTGCATTCACACTATTGTTTTCCTGTTTTATTCTTCTATTCATTTTTGCACTCTACTTCTGCATATTTTGTGCCAATTTACCCATTTTTATTTCAAAATGTTCAGCTCTTTCAGGAGATGGATGCGACTAAGCTTCTTTTTTTTTTTTTGTAACTTTTATACGTTTCAAAACTGTTACCCTTTTTTACAAATATTATCTCCTTCCCAATATGCAGAGATGTCTTTAGTTCCTTCACAAACATTGTTCTCTTTGAAAACTCATCTTGTGCTACTTTTAGCTTTTAGGTAATTTTACCTTTTAGGAAGTCTTTTTTGATAGTTTTAGCTAGCCTGTTGCTGTTTTCAGCTAGCATTTTGATATATTTAGCTAGCATTTTGTGTTGTTTAGCTCTTAGTTACCTTTATTTTTCGCTGGCCTTTTAATATTTTTAGCTAGCCTTTGGATACCTTTAGCTACTGTTTTGCTACTTGACCTTTTGCTTCTTTTAAGTAGCCTTTAAACACTGAGCTTCTAACCATCATTTTGTTTTTTGTTAACTTTAGCTTCTGCTGTCTTTTGTCTTTATCTATTATTTTACTACTTTTAGCTTGCATTTTGTTTGTTTTAGCATTTTGCTACATTTAGAACTTAGCTATCATTTTGTACTTTTAGCTTCTAGCTAGTCTGCGTCTTTTAGCTTTAACAATTCATTTGCAGTTTCTTCAACAAATTTCAGCTTTCATTCAGCACTCATAAATCCCTCCATTTTTTTTGCAGAAAATAATTTCTCGTTATGTCCTCTCTCATCATCGCTCCTTTAATTGCACACCTGCACCTCATGTTTATCTACAGGTGCACTCCGGTTTGGTTTTCCAGGCAGCCACGCCTGTATTAGCAGGAAAAACCACAACAAACAGCGCACAGAAAGGCCTTTTGTTTTGCTCCGCATGCATCGTCTCATAAGATCGCATGTCATGGAAACAATAGCTTCAATAAGCAACCAGGAAGTCTGGGTAATGCTTTTCATTTTGGAGCACAATATGACACCGTCAATTTATCCTCGAGATAATGGGCCTATATGGGTCGTAACGGTGAACGCTGGCCTGCAGGCTAGGCTATTATTAGTGGAAATAAATGAATTTCAGAGAGCTGTTAACGCACTGTATGTGGTTAAAATGGAAAGTAAAAAATGCTCTTTGCCTTCATTTGAAACTGGCAAATGGCACATTTTAGCTTCATAAATATAACTTTGGACTTCCTTACCTTTTTGCAGAAGCATATGGTGGTAAATTGTTTTGTTTTTGTGTATTTTAATGGATGATTTGGATTTTTATAAAGTTAGGTTTTGTGCAAAAGTTACAGACAATAATTATCTGAACTGTTATAGAGTTTTGAACACTTGTTATTAGTCGTGTCTGAAGTGCCTCGGACTACACTGTAAGTGTTACAGCTAGCTGCTGCTGCTATTTGTAAATAATCACAGAATTCTATGAATTCACATTATGTGAAATTGACTAGAAGGTAGTATCGCTTGAGCTTTTTGAAGTTTAATTTCTCTAATTTGCAGTAATTTTCAGACTATAAGGTGCACTTAAAATCCTTTAATTGTTTCAGAAATCCACAGTGAGCCTTATAATCAGGTGCACCTTATGAATTCATTCTGGTTGTGCTTACTGATCTCGAACCGATTCGATGTGGTACACGGAGCTCAAAAATCTGTCAAAATGATTTAGTTTTGCTTAATGCGCCTTTTAATCCAGTGCGCCTTATAGTCCGAAAAAATACGGTAACTGAACCAAATTTGGCAAATTTATATAATAAATGCAAATGTCATAACCGTCTTATTTGTTTTGGGGTTGCTGGTTTTTGGTGCATCAGCTCCTAGTAGTTATGCAGTATTGGTGCTTTTCAAGTCAGTGTGTTTGTGTTTTTTGTTGTTGTTGTTGTTGTTGTTTGTTTTTGTTTTTCAAAAACACAGCTACCACTCCTCTACGGAAAAAAAAAAAAAAAGGAAAAAAGATTGTTTGAATCTTTTAAGAAAAATTAAATACTTCCCCTAAATTCAAACGTTTTCACTTAAAATGCACGTCCTTAAATTGACTGAAATATAAACATTTATAGAATGATTTACTATATAATTCTGGACATTTGATTTTTTTCTAAACAGCAGCAATCCATTTTAATCTTAGTATACATGTAGCTCAGATTAGCCGTTAGCTCGTCTGCCCAAGTCAAGTCAACTCAAATTTATCTATAAAGCACATTTAAAACAGCAGCTGTTACGTAAGTGCTTAACTCATAGCATAGCATCAAATAAAAAAACATCAAGATATAATTAAAAGCATCAAAATAAAAACACAAACAAAATGAAATAGTAAATCAAATCACACTGTGTTAAACATCAGTGTATACAGGTGTGTTTTCAGGAGAGATTTACAGTAAAAGCAGAGCGTCTAATGTTGATGGGCAGATTGTTCCAAAGTTTAGAGCCCATGACTGAAAAAGCCCCATCTCCTCTGAGGTTCAACCAAAAGCAGCTGGTCAGATGATCTCAGCACCCGAGAAGGAACATGGGCCATTTATGCACTTAAAGGTTAATAGGAGAACTTTAAAATCAGTTCTGACACACACAGGGAGCCAGTCCAGGGACGACAAAACCGGTGAAATGTGCTCAAACCTACAAGTTCCTGTTAATAGCCGAGCTGCAGCCATTCAGGATTAAACTTCAATCTGAAGCTCTTCAAAAATCTATCCGCAAAAGTAAAATGTTTTTTCATAATGGACTAAATCCTAATTATTGCTCTGAGGTGAAATGAAGATGACTTTTTTCCGTCAGGAGTCAAGAGCAATTAATCTATTTAGGAAGCCGCATGAAGAACATGTTTTTAACAGTATATAGAAACAAACTGATTATATCTGGTGTAGTTTTCGTTGGTAGTCATCCAAAGTGCCAATCTGTGTTGATCTTCTGTGGAAAGTTTCAGAAATCATTACGTGAACTGACAGTCAGTGTCTCCGACGGCGCGGCGCTCGCTCGTGTTGAGCAAACCCTGGCAGCAGCACAAAAGCAATCGCCACAGCTGGAGCGCACTTTGTGTGAGCCCAAATGATTTCCTCCTAGTAAGCAGAACACACAGCGCCAGACCCCCTCCCCACACCTCCTGCTGCATTCTAAGTGTTCTATAAAGTCTTGCAGGTAAAGGCGAGCGATAAAAAGAAGCATGATTATATGGTTTCCATGTGTCATACCTTATAAATCTGTTTGGCCCAGCTGTTTCCAGCCAAGTGCTGCGTCAGTTAAAACAGAGCAGGAACAATGAAAAGTGCGTGCGTGTGTTTTAGCATCTGTGAGAGAGAAAGTGGGGCTCCACAGCAAATAACATGTAACACGGTTAAACTCCTAAAACATACATTAAATTATTCAATGTCGTCTTGGCTAGTAATTTGTGTTTATGTAAGCAACTTAATGTTCTCCTAATGTGTTTATATGTGTGTATCTGTTAACATACATACCGTATTTTTCAGACTATAAGGCTTAAAATCCTTTAATTTTCTCAAAAATCGACAGTGAGTCTTATAATCCCGTGCAGCTTATGTATCAATTCTGGTTTTGCTTACTGACTTTGAACTGATTTTTTTTTTTTTTTTTGGTACACGGTGCTCAAAAATCTGTCAAAATGTTTTAGTTTTGCTTAATGCGCCTTATAGTCCGAAAAATACGGTACACCCATAGTCCCAGTTAATTGATTTTATGTTTATTTTAAAGTTTATAGTTTAAAGGAACATAGGTTTTGTTAAGATATGTCTATCTGGATTGACATCCAACATGTTAGATCAAACACACGAAAGTAGAGTTTGATGGTACACAGTTATATAAAAGTTTTATCAAAGAAACTGTCCAGATGACCTGACTGAAAATTGTTGGATTGTATACCTGGATTATTGAGCATGGACTTTGTTGGTTTATAAAAGTAAAAGTTTTACTATATTGTAGGCAAAAGGGTAAATTGAACAATCAATAAATAATTTAAACAAATGTTGCCTGTGTGACGGTTTCTAAAGGGGTTTAAACCCAAGGGTGCAGACTGACACATGGCGCTTCCATTAAAATAAAGTCTGTCATGGCAGCAACAAAAAAACCACAAAGCTGAAGACAAGAGATGCAGACAGATACAAGGAGGCCCTTGTTTCCCATAAACCATCTTATCACCAGCAAACTGGTTGATCCACTGTACGAGTGTACTGCTTAGTGGGGAAAACAGTTTGTTTGGGACTTCTCAGACTGATGAAGCCCTTAGGATGGAGAGTGAAACGTCTCAACAACAACAACAAAAAAAAGAAACTGTCCAGATAACCTGAATGAACATTGTTGGAGGACCATCAGCCTAACAAGTGGTCGTTAGTGCCCTGATGGCCACTTGCTATTCACAGAGGGCTGAGTGATACTAGCAATAACAGCATTATAAGAGGGGGACAATTGGACACAGAGGCCTCCGCCCATGTGTAACGATGGATGAGTTCTCTTCACAAAGATGGCCTCCTTTACTCCTCTCTCAAACCATCGTTCCTCTCTATCCAGGATGTGAACATCTTCATCCCTGAAAGAGTGACCGCTGGCCTGGAGATGAGTGTAGACCGCAGAGTCCTGGCCTGATGGTGTTGCTCTTCTGTGCTGGG